CTTTACATTTGTTTAAAAAATACTTATATTTTTCAGAAATTTTAATACTAAAACATTTGTTAATATTTTAATACTTTAACATGATAATGAGTGTGGACTATTTGAATTAAGTCTTAACCGATAAAATGTGGGAAAAATTATTATTTTTAAAAGAGGTATTAGAGCAAAATTGGGTAGATAGATTGTGATTTGAGAATAACACTTAACTTTCTGACACGTTAACTATCAGATATTCTGACACATTAACTTTCTGTTCAAAATATGGACAGATACTTGCTCAAAAGATTTTTTTTTTCTTAAACACTAATGTAAGGTTGATGGTAGTATTGAAATTTTTTAGATGATATGGATATTTTTTAAACAAATTAAAAAGTTCGAGGTAATTTTATAATTTAGCCTACATAACTTATATTTTCTAACCTTCAAATTATTATTGTCGTAATATTGGGTTAAAAAATACCTTTGGTGATGTATTTCGTGGAAATAACGTTAGTATTTGAACTTTAATTTATAAAAAGTTAATTACTACATTTGGTTGACAAGGTAATTCGTAGGATATTAAATCCTAGTTAGGTGAGTTTGAACTCAATCTTTCTAAACCATTTGCTATTTACATTGGCGCTTATTGACCACTAGACCATCCCATAATGGTTACATAGTTGTAGACACCTATTCAACCAAAAGGTGGTAAGTTAGAATTTTCATCCTCACATATTATATTAAAAAAAAAACATAAATCTCTTTGTAGATTTTTTCTTGTATTAGCCATTTTTCCCTTCAAAAGTGCAATTAAATTTTATTTGTCTCAGTAATTATATTTTAAAGTACAGTCAATGGATGAGTACGATTTCATCAAAATTAGGTAAATGTCGTCATGATGATTGGTGCAGCTGAAGGAGTTTGGGCGATACAATATTGAATTATTAATTTTGTATTAAGAAAGGAGAAAGATAATCAAAAGAACTAAAAAAAACACTTAATAAATTATTAAAAAACCGTCAAAAAGATATACCTCCAACCATGAGGTTGTCAGTTCGAATCCCTTCCCCAACAGTTTGTACTAAAAAAAATTACTAGAAAAACACTTAATAAAAATAATATTATATTTACATTAATTCATCTATTATATATTCATATATCTCACAAGTCAAGATTTAAGAAAAAAAAAAAACAAAAAAGTGTGTAGCTTCGCTATATTAATACCATTGATATGAACTGTGTATTAGTTGGTCCAATTTTATAAAATATTAAGTTAAAAAAATAAAAATCTACTTTTAATATTGATTTTATTTTTTTCAACAGATAGATCCATGATACAACTAATAAATTTAGAACTCAAAATAATTTTAAAGACCACCTTAGATTATTTAGAGAGGTCATTGTCCAATTTTGGTATATGCCACCATTTTAAAAAAGATTGGTTGCCTATTTAATTGGGATTTTCTAAAAAAAAAAATAATGCATTAAATAAAACAAACAAAAATAAATAGGGAGTGGAAGATTCCAAAATACAGTTATTGAGATGTCAAAAGAGACTTGGTCCACCCACCAAAAGTCCTCATAATTATGATTCATGTGAATAATATCTCAAATAATGGCATAAAGATGCTTTCATATTAAAAAAATGTATAAATCAATATTATAAAATTTAAATATCTAATAAATAATAAAGTAATGTATATATCATTATTTAAATAATGATAGATTTCCCGCCTAGCAATTTTATTTCTGCAGCAGTAATTGACATATATATCCAACAAAGAGGATGCGAATTAAATCTCACAACTCAACATATTATATTAAAAATAAAAATTTGTTTCTAAAAATAAAAATTGTAAAATATTTTTAAAATTTTAATCATTTTTTTTTTAAAGATCAACCATTTTTATTATTAAAATGACCTTATAATTAGGGAAATATCAGATAAGTTAAAGAAATTATTAAAACTTTAAATCTTATTTATTGTTTTCTATTATTTGTGAGTTACAAAATATAAACGTGTGATAGCTTAAAAATATAAATGACATTATATTTTCTTTTTTGTGAAGAAATATAAGTTTTATATCTCTTTGTTAACGAGTTACAATAAATATATTTATTGATAAGTTTTATTTCTATTTGTTAACAAATTGGAATAAATATATTTATTTTGGAACATTCTTCAAATAGGAATTATCGTGTAAAATAAAGATATGAAAATTATTATACAGATTCGAGCTCCTAAGAACATATATATGATCGACTTACTTATGTCACACCAAATGATCAGAGTATATAATAACTTATATATTAATAAAAAATATTACATATTCATCTTGCCGGATAAAATTTAGAAATTCCCAAATGATTAAAATCTATTTTGGCAAATTCTCTATCATGAATACTAAATCTTGGTACGTGCATCTATTTTACTTTCGAACCTGATTTATTTTTTCTTTGCATAAATAGATATTATTTTAAGGGAATAATGAGAGGATAAGGTAAATTATTTGTATGTCTAAAAAAAGAGTAAATTATTGATATTATCACGTAAGAACTATATACTTTTATGTTAATTTTACTAGTTTATTTTGAGTGACATGATTATAAGATGGAAAAAAAAGCATTTTTCATTATTTATTTCTAAAAAAGAATTTGAAAAAGTTTCTCGTCTCCGGTCAAAACTAGGGATTTCTTATTTTATTGAACTTTTAGATTATATTTCTATATTAATTTTTGAAAAATTTAAAATGATTGAATTATATGATAAAAGGAAAAACTGATATTCCAAAAACTGGTTGGGGAAGTCTAGTAAAATGTTGACCTTGACACATTCAAACAACGACTTAAAAAAAATTATAATAAAAAAAAAACTTCTAAAAAAATAAGATATTATTATAAATAAATAATAATTATTGGTTTGGGATTGTGAAAATGACATTTTTCGGAAGCTTCTATCAGCTTCTTTATGGCTTTTTCAAGTGTGATTTGTACATTAATATCATCACCCAACCAGAATGATGCAAAATATTCCCTAAATAAAGATGTTAATTATGAGAATATTATATCTCTACTTTTTAATGAAAACTTTTAAGAAGATTTTTAAATTTTATCTTTTTAAAAAAAAAATTATTTGACGAAATATCACAAGTAAGGTTTTAAAATGTACTACAAGAGTAAAGGTGCACTGTAGCAGATTTTTTACTATAATGAAATATATATATATTTAGTACAACATGTAATGGTGGTGATCGAACTCACAACCTCTTAGTTGGAGATATATGTCAATTAACGTTGAGCTATGCTCGTTTCGACAGAACGAAATATTCTTTTAAATCCTAATAAGTATAACAAAATTAAAATAGATATACAAATAAATATTACGTCACACGCCAAATATAATATATGCATCTCTTTTAATTTGTTGTTAGGTTCGTTTCACCCACCAAATTTCGAAGAGTTCTGGTTAAATGTTCGTTATGGATCTTATTTTATCTCACATATCATGTGCTACATATGTAGATGCAACCATTTTATGTTGTTTTTATGTTGTTTGTTGCATGATGTTCATGCACTTGACGTTACTGCAAAAAGATGTTTGCATTAACAATATTTTTTTTTGTATTTTTTTAGTACAACATGTTGGGGAGGGGATTCATTTAACTTCACCTAATACCTCAGCACGGCCCATGACTTCACACACAATCTAATGTTGAACTCAATATTTCATAAAACCACAATCTTTAAAGTCAGGAAATTTCAAACTAGCCCATGTCATGAAAAGGCTCCAAAATATGGATGAAATTATATATATCATGCTATATATCCATCAACTATTCATTAATTCAAGATCATAAGGTGGGAGTAATGTTTACCATTTTCTTCCCAATTCACCTAAAGCAATTTCACTCACAGCCCCATGGTATTTGAGAGCCACACTTGTTAAAAGGGAAAAAATGGTTTTTTTTCCCCTAAATTTATTATTATTATCATTTTATGTATGCTAGCTAGCAAAGATAATTATTAGAGACAATTTTCCATAATTAAATACAGCAAATAATAATAATAATAATAATAGAAAAAACAAGGTCAAAATACTATGGTAGTCTATATGCTTTCAATTTTTGATCATTTTAAAATATTCATTTTAATCGATGTAATTTTAAAAAGTGATTATTTTAATTCCTTAATTTTTTTATCTCATTTTTATAAAACAATTTCAACACAATACCATAAAGAAAGTGATAGTTTTGGTTCTTTAAATGATATCTATTGTGTATAGAATTTATATGATAAAATTTTACAAACAAACACCAAAATGGTCACCTATAAAAAATAAAGAGATCAAAATAAAAATTTCACAGTACATGAGATTAAATTGTTGGAAGTAAAAAACCAAAATAGACATTTTAAAAGTAGAGAGACAAAAATTGTGCAGGACAAATATATATATATATTATTTTTTTTTCAAAAGAACCAAAAATAGTAATTAACCTAATAATAATATATATTTCTTCTCTCTTAGCACTTAATATCAGCCTTTTAGCAAGGTGATTTTATCATCATTTAATGAAGATATATTTTTGTACTCGAAAAGAAAGAAAAAATGATTATACATAATTTATAGAAACCGGATAGCTAAAGGGGATTTTCCATAAAACTACCATAGAATCCCTTGAAAGATCCCAAAAGATCTCATTTTCAATTAACTCCTTCATAAAATTTATGATAACAAATCCTAAACAAAGAGCAGAAAGACGATAAAGACCTTCACCAAATTTGGTCTTGTGGGCATTTGGTATCCTATGAAAGATAACATGTAGAAAGCACATAGTTTTGTTAATCAAACACTTTAAGAGAAAAAAATTCGACCCCAATTTGATAACCGTTCTCAAAATCACTAAGAGAAGTAGTTTTCAAAAACTTGTTTCTTTTTAAAATTTGACTAAGAATTCAAATGTGTTAAAAGAGAAAAGGTGAAAAATATAATTAAAAAATGGCAAGAAAACAAGCATCATTTTAAAAAACAAAATTATTATCAAACCAAAATCCAACAGTTTGAACATTATTACTGGCTTCTAAGGTAATCTCACATATATGTTTCTTTCTTTGTCTAACGTTTCGGTTCTCAAAAAGAAAATAAATACACTAACATTTTTCATCTTCCAGCCAATAGTTAAAAGAAGAAGAACTTGGAACCTGTAGGTGCAGCCAACTCCTTTGGTTCACTGAATAATTTAGCCATTTATCTACTGGAATCTGTATGCTCCGGGAAGAAAACAGATACAGCAACCTTCTGCCTATTGATTAGAGACTGAAGTAAGCCGTTAGAGAGACCTTTGTATCGACCCGATTGCGTAAACCCGATCAGACAACCTTCTTTTTCTATATTTACATTCGCCATAGACGGGCAATGCTCAGCTTTCTTCCTGAGGATGGGAAGATGAAGTCATAAGACGGAGGCTTTACTTTCTCCAATGGACACTGTACAGGAGCAAAGCATAAGGAGAGTCTGAGAATGGAGCGATCGGAGAGTAACGTCGTCCAGTATTTGGACTGTGGGGCGATAAATGATTTAAGAGACACAACAAAGTCAAGTTCACAAGGTCAAGGGCCTTAGTATCTGAGTTTCCACAAAGAACTGCTACAGTTATAAAGTGAAGCACACTGCTTGAATCTGAGGATGAGAAGACAGGCCATATAAGTTGTAATGAATCTCAGGCAGCATCCATTCTCGGTGAGCAAGTTAGCATTTCGGCACCTTAACCAGTTTACGAAACAAAGCTATGGACACTTTTATGTCAAATTAAACTTCCAGCTTATGGAAGGTGTTACCATTATCATTGCAAACATTACTTTCTCTGTCCTCTAGTTTGAAATCCACAATGCCATTCCCAAACTTCTCTGTGTGTCTCACCTTTGAATGAGCGTGCTGGGAAGTTCTCATCAAAAAATTTTCCTCAAGAAAAACGTCCTTACTCTTCCGCTTCTGTTTGACATCCAATAGTCCTAAAGCATGAGCTTCCAGAGCTCTAGTGGTTGGAGGTCGGTTCCGATTGCTTTGTCTTCGAGAACTCTTATTGGAGTCGCGTTCTGAAACATTGAGGCTTTCAGAACACTTGTTTGGTCTAGTTTTTTGTCCTTTTATTTCCATGGTGGAACTTCCATGGCTGTCAGAATCTTGAGGAATAGGCAAATTGAGGTCAATCAAAGTATGGGGTTGATGTCTACCTTGTTGAACTTCAATGCCATTAGGAACATCGACACAACTAGTAACTGTACTGCCTGTGGATAAAGAAGACAAAGGCAAATTCTCCTTAGACGAATCGACTTGAGGGAGAATATTTTGATGCAAATCATAATGTTCAGATGAATTGCGCTCCTCTTTTAGCTCAGGACCTGCCAATGTTTTAATTGGATTGCAGCTTGTCTGTTGACTGCAAGAGTTCAATTCCCAACTTGGTTCGGTATAAGCTGTGAAGTCATTTTTGGATTCGGGTTTTCCCCGGCTCATTTGGTACAGAACAGCCTTTCTTTGCCGTGCGTTGTCCATTGAAGTTTTCTCATCCTCCTCCTGAATTTTCGACCTTGTATTAGTAGAATAATATAGGCCGTCATTTGGAGTCTCATTATTTGAAGAATTACCTACACAAGTTTTCTCATCAAAATAAACATTTTTATCCAAGTTGATTCTTGAGCCTCTGGAAATGTCAGTTACTTCCTTATCATAATGCATACTGCTATCAGAATGAGTATCATCCATTGAAATCTCTGAAGAAATTTGCTCATCGTCTTCAGATTGATTTCTGGAAACGTATGTATTCGTAATTTCAACTGGCAGATTTTTTAGTTCTCTGACCTTGAATGTGTATCCATTACCCAAACTTGTATCGACAACCATAAATTTCATCGTATCCGTATTATTAATTGGAGTTCGTGGCTTGAGATAGCAGTAACGTTGTTGACTAGAAAAATCCTCCTGGTCTGGTTTCGTTTTGCCACTCAACTCAATCTCGTCCTTGTTGCTGCAGGGTTTATCTACAACAATGTCAAGCTCAAGAAGCCCAGGGTCCGAAGCAACCTTATTCAAGACATCACTGACAGAATCAAAGAAATGTTCTCCCTTAACTTGTTTTCTTCTGCAAAACTTCTTCACACCAGGGATCAGGAACACCAAAGAGTGCTTTAAACCAGCAGTACTACCATAATTGTTAGCCTGCTCCGAATGCCACCCTTTGGCTAACAAACGGGGCCACACAGCTTCCCAAAAGAGGTCACTTGATCGAGCTTTGCTCAACCTGAAATCTCCGGTCAGAAATTTGACAATTTCGACAGGTGTAAGTGCTGCACATGCTTTACCAACTGGTATTTCAGGCCGAGCAGGATGAATATGATTAGACTTCACTGGATCCATGGTGGTGCTGGTTAAATCTTGTTTTCCTTTACCAATTCCAACAGCCTCTACAAGTGCATTCAACCCAACTATAGCTTTCAAAGAGAGTACATATTCCTCCAGCAGTATTTTACCCTCACTAAATCTCCTTGAAACCTGTCAATCCATTAAAACTTGAGATCTGGAAAAACAAAATACATGTAACTGGAGAAAATATGTCACAATAATTTTAAGCGTCTGCAAGTAAGTTTTCAAGCAGGTTAAGACTACATTAACAACAAAGAAATGTCTACCCTACACTAACAAAAGTTATCAGTTATTATAAGAATCGAGTAAAAAATGCAAGATAGAAAACCAAGATTAAAGCATTTGCTGACTGGACGATTTTTCTCGAATCAAAAGACAATATGTTAAAGAAAGTGAAGAAAGTCTATTAGTACCACATATTTCACAATAGTGAATTAGTGATTGATGTCAAGAATGCATATATCTTTTGTGAAATTGAAAAAAAAAAATGAAAATACATAAAGGGTTGTAATTAGTAAAGAAAAAACATGAAACTGCAATGTGTTGTCCATCTATACAAAATCAGCATATCAATTCCGCGTTCTCGACTGAAAATGTGGGCTGAAGAGCTAAGAGCAACTCTCTGAATAAATATTTAATAAAACAGATGGTAGTTTCACCGCAGGTATTCTTTATTTTTGTCAACTTTTTACATTGGGTAAGGGTACGAATTTGAGGATCAATAAATATCACATCATCTATCAACCGTTGGCATATAATCCAGCATGGAGTAAAAATGTATACCTCCACTACCGTATTTTGCTTTTCCTCTGATAATGAGGAAAGCAAGCGAGATGCCAATTCCTGTTGCCTCCAGCCACTAAACAACTTCTGTCCACATATACATCTCTTGCCTCTTGCTTTACGACATGTCGACCATCTGCGGTATTTCTCAGATCCATAAAATTTCCCATAATAGAATGAAAGAATATCACCCATCTGTTTAGATCCAACAAACTTCTTCACCTGAATGAGGTTCTTCCCAAAAATGTATAATCCCAGGAGAAGACTGGCCCTTTCTATGTCACTCCAGTAATCATTCAAGGAATCGGGAATCAACCCTTGGCCATTGTCAACGTTGTTTTCATTCATATTGATCTTCATTTCTTGTTGCAACAGAAAATTTGTTGAATCGCCTGAATTTGTTGCATTTTCTGAATCCTTATTTCTCATGTCATCACAGGGTTTAACCTCTCGAGCTTCTGAAACATCCCGCGTCACAGTTGTCACAGCCAGATGTTCATTTTGGTCGGATGCCAAAACAATATTATCACTGCCATTATGCTGTTCCTGTTTCAGACTCTGACCACCATCAATCCTTTCTACCGGTACAGGCAATCCAATATAAGTATCAAGCAAACCACCAGCTTGACTCTTCAAAGGCCTGAAATCATCCGATTTGACCACAAGGAGGGGAATTATAGCCTGGTACTCATTCCCGATTCGGGGAAAAAGCTCAGGATCCCTAAAGTCGTCGCATGTACTAGAAACATCTGGAGAAACAGACTGCTCAGGTGACATATCTTCACTGCAAATACCTTGGAGTTTAATTTGATCTACATCCATCTGCAAAAATCATTCGCAACAATGCCAACCACTTGAGCATAGCTTCTTATTTTTAATTAATTCCACACTTATCATATCAAGAAGCATAAACCTCGCAAGATTTTATTAAGTATGAGACAATCTTCTTCAATCATGCTTTATACTGCATTAGAATTGCAGTTATTCATTTCAATGTTGTAAGCCTGATGAAGAGACTGCATATTTGTCCATTTACGTTGAACATAAAAAGTTTGTTTTTCCAAATAATTGTATTTTGCAACTATAAGCAAAAACAGAAGATAGGACCTCCAATTTTCCTGCAATTATATCAAAAATCCAATTAAAGATTGCATATTTATGTTTAATGTATTGTTTATACCAGAGGACAAATACCTCAATGTAATATTTTCTTCTGATACATACAAGTACAGTTGCTTTTAATTTCCCCACAACTCCCCTTCTTGAATTTTGACAAAATAATGAACAGTTCACATTTATTACTAATTAAGCTAAGAAATTTCTGAGCTATATTATGTAGTATGTGAATTATTTACTCTTGTCTGGCCTTTAAGAGAGAGAGAGTATCCAAACACAGGCATAAAACGCTCATTAGCAACCTATTAGATCCGCCATAACTAATTAACTAAACAAAATGATTTCCAAGAAGCCAATTCCAGGTGCTAGACCCAATGCAAAAGAAAACCAGATCGATTACTGAAGTTGGCATTTCAGGAGAAAACAGAAAATATCACATCAACAATTACCATAACAAATGTCCTCGGCTCAAACAAAAAAAACTCGAAAATCACTCACAAATCATATTTAGCCATTTACATGTCACGGATAGAACTGCGTTTTAAATCTTCCAAATTAATCAAAGAAAATGTTAGGAAGATCCA